TCTGCGATGAACCCACTTTATTTTTAAATACCTTTCAAACTATCCTTTTTTTCTGGTGGCGCAGATAAAAGATTGTTTATCTTTTAATTTTGTACAAAACTACTGATTTATTATCGTAGGCCTTGCGTATTAAGGTCTCATCTATTTCACAATCCCCCAGTTTGTTATCCATTACATGTGCTATGTTACGGCTTATTGATTGTCTTTAATATTCTTCCTGATTTAATAGCCAAGTGGAGTCATTAAGCCCCAAACTAAATTACAATTATCATCAATATAATTTGTCTCATTTTTTTTTCACAGCCCTGCTGTCTTGTTTTCTATCTAATGAGCCAAAAGATTGTACATTAGATGACAATTGTGGTAGATTTCTCTCCAAGATGCACAAATGAAAGCATATTTGCTTGATTTATGTTACAATGTATTTTACACAGTATTAGTTTTTCAATTGCTAGAATGATCAAATCTGGTTGATAAAATGTGGGAAGGATTGATTTTTCTGGTCAATTTAACAAGGCATGGTGAAAAGTAAGTTAATAATGGCCAACACATAAATATACCAAGGATGAATTCAGTGGACATCTTATATGTACTTTGTCATAAACCCTTTAAATCAATATTTTTTAAAGTCAATTTGATATATGAAACTGTTCAAGGCAATTTAGCAAAATTATGCATAATGATACATAAATAAATAAGACAAAACCAAATAAAAGGGAAAATTTTTCAGACATCATCTGCAATGTTCTTAAACAAAAACTATCAAGTTTCAAATATAAAATTAGTTCTATCCAGGATTTAAAAACCAATTACTAGCATACCACTTCTGGCACGAGACAAGTGAACACTTACAAGTATTTGCATTTTCACTTAACACAAAATGGCACTATTAAGCAGGAGTAGTGAAAGCACTTCTTTTAATAGACAACACATTTGAGCCGCATGCAAAAGAATATATAAGCTGCTAATACAGAATTGGAGACCAACGTCAATTAAAATTTACACTTACTGTACCGCCATCCACCAGAATCATAATATAAGGTCAAGAGGCACCTCTTCTTGGCCTATAAAGATGGAATTGACCCCGTGGCTCATCTGATGCATCTGTAAAAACACACTGTATTATGTATACCAGTATAATGCACCATTTCAAATATTCTTTGTTGTTATACTTTTATCAGGAATGAGAGAAGAAAATGCTAATAAAGGACAATCCTGATCCATTCCCCTAAATAAATCACTTATTGGACATTTCATATAAAATTCAGCAAAAAA